CTGCGCCGCCGCCTCCCGCCCCGCGGCCCCCCGGGCTCCCGGCCCCCCGGCCGGCTGCCGCCCAGCAGCGCCCTCCCCGCGGTGCGGACACAGGACGGAGCCTGCGCTGGACGATGGAGGGTCAGGGAGGGGACGGTGGCCACCCGAGAGGAATCAGCAGAGAGGAATCAGCAGGCGAGGGAGGGCCTGGGGGAGTGCTCCCGGGTTTATTAGTGTCGCTTCAGCACCTTAAAATAGTCCACGTGGTCACACACGTGACAGACTCTGTTCCTCAAAAAGGCTATGTACATTAGTCGTTTTCCTTTAAAAAAACTAGCAACAGGTACATTCTGGAAATCAAACAATGCACAACAAACTGAATGGGGGTCTGCAGAATGTCAGGTGGCACCACGTGGCCTGCAGGGACAGACTCGGGGGTGTCACCAAGGTCAACCCTCAGGCAGGCACCCTGCAGAGCCACGTTCTCCCCACTACCTCAAGAAGGACAGGACAGGTCTGGGGAGGGGTCAAGAGGTGTAGGTCAGCCGGCTGGCCCTCCTGAGTGGGTGACCAGGTCTTGTGAGAAAATCCGGCCCCAGAGGCAGCCAGGGCTTCCCACTGGAGTGAGGCCAGGGCGGCAAGGCCGGCCTTGGCCGCTCTGACCCCGCCGGCCTCTGTGCAGACAGGCCCTGCGCTCCAGGCCCAGGGGCCCCCTCCTCCCCAAGCTTTGGCCACAACAGGATGCTGGCCTGCATGCTGAGGAGGTAGTTGCCCCAGGGGACAGACAGGGAGGGGACAGACAGGGAGGGAGGAGACCATCGTCTGGGCAACAGGGCAAGGTCTGGCCCGCCTGGCCTTGCTCTCGGGTGACTTAACCTTGGAGTCCCAGCTGCCTTTGGTGGCCCCACAGGCTGGGAAGCCCTGCCCTGAAGGAGCTGCTCCTGGCCTGCAGGTCCACTGCCCGGCTGCACTCCCCCCACACCCACACCACCCTCCCCTGCGTCACGGTGGCACTGGCTGTCCCAGGTGGCTTTGGCTTCTGCGTCCCCTTTGCCATGCCTCCTCAGGACAGCTCCGTGAGGTAGGCAGCGGGAACGCCACCATACCCATGGAGCGATGAGGACACCGAGGCACAGGTGAGCGTGCAGCCCCGTTCTCCGAGTGAGTCATGGTGGCCAGGGCACCTGCATGGCCTCCCAGGCCCAGGGGTGGTGTGGGGGGGGTCCGAGCACTCGGGCCCAGGACCCCATAGCCAGGTCCTGCAGGCCCGGGCACAAGGCCTGCCCTCGGGTGTGGGCAGACGGCAAGGCGCATGGGGGAGGGCTTCTCCAGGACAGGGGACTGCCGGTGGCAGGATAGACAGGACAGCCCCCTCAGGCCCCTCCTCTGCAGCCAGCTCTAAAGCTGGAAAGCTAAGTCAAGGGCGTTAGCCTGCACCTCCTTTCTGCTGCGTGACCTCTGGAGAGTTAACCTGAGGAGCAGTGACCAAGGCCTCGAGGCCAGTGGCCTATACCTGCACCTAGGTTCTCCCCAGGGAGGGGCAGAGCCCCAAGCCAGGGTTCGGTCCTGGGCAACTGGTCCGGGTGCTGTTGAGGGTGGTGTGTGTCAGCAAGTATGGGCTCTTGTTGGGAGGGGATCCTCTGCTCAGCACTCTGCCCACAAGCACCCCTGAGGTGGGGGCCGTCCCCCAGGTCATGCCCCCAGGGCCACGGCCACTCTGCACAGCCACCTGGGGGAGGAGGTGAGCAGGTGGGTCCCAGGTAGGAAGGATGGGCCACCTTGACGTGAGGACGGGGCCCTCTGTGCTGCGGGTATCAGCGAGGCCTGTGCCCTGGGAGGACAACGCCCTGGGGCCCATCCTGCATGTGGCACTGTTTCCTGAGCACAGCCTGCGTGGCGCTCGGCCTTAGGCCCCCAGTGGGCTGCCGTGTCCCGGCCACCACTGCCGATGGGTGGGGGTCTGTGGGGTCTTCTTGGGAAAACCTGGGCTGTGGCATTGTGGGCAGGCAACAGGGCTGGGGAGGACCCTGGCTGCGGTGGACCCTGGCTGCGGTCAGGATGGGACCCAAACACGAAACCTCACTCTGAGGAGCCTGGCCTAGAGAAGCCACCAGGGCCCTGGCTGTGGCCCTGGCTCCAACAGTGCCCGGCTGCCCAGCCACGTTAGTGCCACAGTGACATCCCCACCTCACCCCCCCCCACCCCTGGCACCAAGACAATGGACAGGGCCGGTGTTGGGGGCAGGAGGAGGCCACTGTGCTTGCTACGTTTGGGGCAGGGACAACTCACAGGAACATAGGGTGTCTCAAGAACAGCCTGAGGGGAGTGTGTTAGAGTGGGGGGGCTGGACGGGGGCGGTGCTGGCTGGCTCTGCCCAGCCCCAGGGGCCGCTGGGACTGGAGAAGCGCACTGTCTGCTTGGCAGCTACATTGTAACATGTATTTAAAAGCATTAAAAATACCTGCTCGTGTAAAACCTCCGCTCCCCGCAAGGCTGGAGTTTATTGGGAGCGAGTGGGTGGTACTGGGGCCACTCGGCTGGGCGGAGGCGGGAGCCCGAGGCTGGGCTGACTGGCCTCTGAGTTCTGCTCAGGATGCTCCCCACGGAAGGCCGGCCCTTGGCCTCTGGCCGCCCAGCTCCGCGCCTGGGCACACAGGCCGCCCACCGGAGCCCAGCGCCCCGGGGAAGCGGGAGTCCTGGCTTCCAGGAAGGACGGGACGTGAAGGCGAGAGCCCTCCCTGCTGGAGGCCAGGGCGGGGGGATCCTGAGGCCAAACCCCACGTCTGCGGTTCTCGAGGTCAGCGCCACCTGCACCCGCGTTCCTGTTAGTAAGCAGGGCGGTGGGAATCCCGGGGGCCGCCCGTTAGTTTCCAGGCTGCAAGCTCATTCGGACCTACGACGTCTCTGTTGGAGGGTCTGTCTCAGTAGTGGGCTGAAATGCTAACTGAAAGCAGCTGGGCTCGGCCGTCGCAGGGCTGCGGGGCGGCGGGCGGGCTAGAAGGTGGACTTGGAGTGTCCGAAGATGCAGACGGGCAAGTGCTTGACGTGGGAGGACCACTGGGCCGCCAGCTGGAAGAACTTGACGTCATTCCACTCCACGCCGTCGATGAGGACTGCAGGAGACGAGACCGCTGACCCGCCTGCCACTGGGCAGGGAGCACGCCAGCCCCTCCCCCGGGCCCGGTGCGGGACAAGGCTGGGGGGCCGGACACCCCAGGCCCCCGTGGGAGGAGGCCCTGCTGCCCTCCCCGGCTCCGAGCCACCGGCTGTGGCCACCCCTCCCTGACCGTGGGGAGCTGCTGGTCCACATCCCATCTGCCCCAGCCAACCTGGGGTGGCAGACACCCTCCACTTAAACCAGAAAGTCGAGGCAGGAGGGCGGGCGGTCCTCAGCTCGAGGACAGAAAATCTCCAGCCCCGTTTCTGAGTCAGTCAGCATGGAAAGTGTACAGGGCCCGACACACACTCAGTCTTTTAAGGAGCAGCGGGGACTGGGAAGTCACTGCTCGGACCCAAAAGCTGTCACTCGCACACTGGCCCCTGAAGGAAGTGCCACATGCGAGACTCTTCCCGCTCCCGAGCCGAGGCCAGAAGCTGCCCACCTCTGCCCTGGGTTACTCCCGGCCCACGGACCGGACCAGACCGCTGGGACTCTGGGTTAAGGCCCGAGTCCCAGGGGCCCCGCTGAGGAGGACACCCGGACGATGCCCGCAAGCCGCTCACCACGCAGCATGTGCTGCTGCTGCTTGGCCGTGCAGATCAGGCGGCTGATGCCCTCGATGCACTGGCTCTTGGACTCCACGTCCTTGTCCTTGGTTTTCTTGGGCAGAAACATCACTGGGGGGAAGAGGGGCCGTGCTGTCGTCCTGCTGCACCCTCGGTGCCCCGGGGCGTGGGGGCCACGGCCCTGGGACCCCTGCTCCCCTCCCGCCGGGGGTCTTCCGCTCGGGGCTCTGGCAGGAGGGGCCCCGGGGCCCGTGTGGCCTCCCCTGCCTGCCCGCAGACCCCTCACCCTTCTTGTTCTTCTCCTTGGTGACCACAGTCATGGACATGGTGGGCGTGGCTGAGGCCTCGCCACTGCCGGGCAGCCTGCTGACCTGCAGAGACCGGAAGGTGCACTTGAGCGTGTTTTTGGCGGTGGGCAGGTCCTTCTTCTCCGCGTCTCTCTTCCTGTCTGTGGCCTGGGCTGCTGTCCAGTAGTCCACCTGCAGCCCCATCAGCTCGGCACCGACGCCCTGGCTGGGGAAGCAGAGGGAGGTTCACCGTCCGTCCTTGAAGGTGACAGCGGCACCCTGGAGGCTGATGTCGGTGGGAAGGCGCCAGCTGCTGCCCATGCTGCCCGGCTGACCCGGAGCCCCAGGCCTCCTGGAACAGCCTAGTCCATACGCGTGGCTCTGACATGGCTGCAGTGCTGGAGTGTCTGGCTTGCTGCCCCTCTGCTCTCCCGAGCCACCCCGAGTCTAGAGGGCTGAGGTCAAACGGCCTCGACATAGGAGCAGCCCCCGCAGAGCCCGGGGCCCCCCAGGTGTGAGGACTCCCAGGCCCTGGGAAGTCCCACTACCCCCATCTGCATCCGGAGCACCCCTGTACTTCCTCAGGTGTCCAGGACCTGCATCCCCCAGCCATGATGGGGTGCTCCTGTCCAAGCAAGCCAAGTCCTCTCAGGCTGTGGTCAAGACCTAGCCTCCCTGGCAGCCGGGGGAGGCGGCCAGTGGCCTCGAGCAGGAGAGGAGGCAGGAGCTGGGTCATAGCGCCCGGGAGTGGGGTGGGCTGCGGGGCCGGTGGGGGAGCCACCCTGTGCAGCTGTGCTTACCTGGGCGAGGCCAGGCCGCTCACTGATGGAGAGGAGGGCGGGGTGGGCGAGGCCTCCTTGGCAGCAGGAGATGTGGACGGTGGGGTGGACGAGAGCACACTGGAGCTGGTGGGAGTCGCGTCGTCCGAGTCACCTTTGAGGAGGAGTTGGGACAGGGCTGAGTCCGCACCTTTCTGCCCTGACATCAGGCCCCACAGGAGGCAGCCAGCCCACAGGCTGGGGAGGGCATGGGGGGCCAGGGCCGCTGGTCGCTGGGAGGGGCCGTCCTGGTGAGCAGAGTGCCCGGTGGGCATGGACGTGGCAGCCCTCCCCCAGGATGTGGCTCTGCCCAAGCCACACCGCGGCCGATGCTGGGGGCCGCCCCGGCCCCTGCGTCCTTGCCCAGGGGCGTGGGGAGGGGGTGGTCACCTGATGTGGCCGAGGATGGTTCCACGATCCCAACTTTCACCACCTAGAAGGCGACAGGTACTGGCTGGCCGCAGTGCGAGGGCAGCGGCCAGCCCCATCGCCCCTCGTGCCAGGCTCTAGACCCAGGCTGAGCTCTGGCTTCCTGGGCCACCAGCACCCCAACCTCCGCCAGACCCGCCCCTCCGGGAGCTCCTGGGGCAGAGCCAGAACTCAGCCCCTCCTGTCCGTGGGCAGAGCCAAGCACTGAGTGGCCACTGCCCGGCACAGGCCACGGCGAGGGGCGCACTGGGGAGCCTCCTCTCAGGGTGCACTCTCTGTGGCCCTCCCCCACGCCCAGAGGGTCCATGCCTGCCCAGGGCCCTGGGCTGGCCCAGAGTTGCAGCCAAGGCCAGGACAGGAGAGGCACCCTCCCCTGTGGCAGAGCCTCTCGGGTCCCGCTCTCGGGCTGACCCTCAGCAGGCCGTGAGCCTGTATGAGTGGCCAGGCCAGACACAGTGGGATCGGGACGTGGTGTGAGGGCGCCCTGCCCAGCTTGGCACCAGAGGCCCCATGGCCTGTGGCTAGAGCCTGGTTCAGGCAGGTGCTGTCAGCACCCCATGTGGACTGGTGTGGGGCCCCACGGGTTCAGGTGAGGCTCAGGACAAGCCATGCCTTGGTCACACAGTGGCATTTCACATGTCTTAAGGGGACGTGTGGCAGCTGTGTCTGATGGTGTGGGGCCGTCCTGTCACTATAGAAGTTCCCATGGGACAGGCTGCCCTGGACTAACTCCCTGAGGAAGCCGGCAGCCACCCAGGCCCCCAACCAGGGCCAGCAGAGGCCGAGGCCAGGCTGCCTACGGCCCTCACAGCAGACGCCTCCCTGGAGGCCACCAGTAGATGACAGGCTATGAAAACAGTGGGAACAGGGACAGCAGCCCAGCTGGCAGGGAGCTGAGCTTCTGCCCAGTGTGGGAGAAAGCAAAGCCTCCTGATTTGTGGGCCACAACCCAGGGAAGCAAGGGGCACGGGGGCACCCTTCCTGCCCTTTGGCTCCCAAAGGGTGGGGGCACCCCTCCGCCCCACCCAGAGGGGGCTCTGTCCTGAGGCCCTGTGGCCCTGGGTGCCGGCCTGCGGAGCTGTGTGTGGCGGGGGCCCAACCCCAGGACGTGCTGAGACTGGACTGCCCCCAAGGGGGCCGTGGGCCCCCATGTCAGCCCCGAGCAGAGCCGGGGTACCGAGGAGCCCAGGCCCCGCCCTACCCTGCCCCACACTAAGACGTTGGGGAGGAGATTAAAGGCAAGTCCTCAGCTCAAACTGGCGAATAAGGTTCTGGATACGTCAACTTAATACAAAAACTGACAACAGCAGCTCCTTGGCAAGGTGACAGCTTCCCAGGCAGGCGGAGCCGTGGGCGGGTGGGGCCGCCTGGTGTTACTCACCCCCACGAACGGAATGAACTTCTGTGAGGACTCGCCGTCGGGGCTGAGAGCAAGGACACAGAGTTAGTGTTCACAGGCCCGGGCGTCCCGCCCCACAGCGCCCGACCTGGACGCCGGGCCCCCAGCGAGCAGGGTGCAGGGCAAGCACCGCTGTGCACCCGCGGAGGCCACAGGGGCGGCCGCACGGGGGCAGGCACGGCCCTGCGGGACCCGCTTTTCTCTCCCGAGGCCTGCCGGGCGCGCAGGGCGGCCAGCCCAGCCCCGACTGCCTTCCTGCCGCCCACAGTGGCCTGTGCCCCCAGGCCCCCTGAGAATAGTCCACCTCTCGCAGGACCGGGAGCAGCCTGAAGCCAGGGTGTAGGGGTTCTCTCCCACAGTCTGGGTAAAGGCGGTGCCAACCAGAGGTGAGGCCGATGTGGGGGGCTGTCCCCCAGGCCGCGGGTCTTGCTGACGGGGTGCGCACAGCATGCTCCAACACGACGCACCCCAAGGGCGGCCCACCGGCCAGACGAGGCTCCCTGGACCCGGCCTGCATGACTTCCGGCACACGTGGGCTCCCCGGAGCCACGGCCACCACACAGGCATGGGGAGGGCCTCGGGGGGCGCAGCCTGTGTCCGCGGCGGGCCACCTGCTGACCGGCACCCCCGCAGCCTGAGCTGGGGCTGAGGGGCGGTCCCGCAGGACTCCGGCTGCCAGAGCGTGTCCCAGGGCTCTGGGCCCACCAGGCAGGTCAGTCGGGCCTCCTGCCCCTCAGGCCAGGGCGGTGCCTCCTCACCGCTCGCCCAGGGCACCTCTTCTCACCCGCTTCCCCATCAGAGGACGTCTTCCGCAGACGGCTCTACCAGCACAGGCCGTGCCAGGGAGCGGCGCTGCGCCCCACACTGGATTGAGGGGTGCCACCAGGTTCGGGGTCACTGGGAAAAACTACGGCACCAGCAGGCCTGGACAGGGCGCTGTGGGTCCAGCTCAGCCCTGAGTGCCAGCTCCCCAGGGCCCCGCCAGCTGCCACTCTGTCCCTGCGTCCGGCAGCACTCCCTATACGGCGTGGCTCCGAGCTGGACGAGCGGCCTGGCCCCGGGGACAACACGGAACACATGCAGCTGTCCGAGGAGGTCCTCGCGGTGCTGCCCTGCACGCCGGCGCCTGTGCTAGGGGACAGCGGCTGCAAACCCGCCCTCCTCGGGCGTTGCCTGGACACGGGGGCCCAGCACCGCCTATGCCGCCACCACAGGACACCAGGAAATGTGTCTGGATGGAAGGGCCTCCGGTTTCGCTCTGTGCCATCAGAAATGGCCCAACTGCCAGTCTCCCTCCTCTCCAGGGGCACAGCTGGAGGAGGAAGTCCCCCCGTTTCCCTCTTCAGACAGTAAAGCCATCAAGTCCTGTGCCCAGACCCGCTCTGCACGCCAGCGGGCAGGAGAAGGCAGGCGGTCCCATGAGCTGCAGCCCACAGGGCCACTCGCCCTCAGCGAGCCACTGTCCCCACGACCGTCCCCACGACCGTCCCCAGGACCCCCCCACGAGCGGCACGCAGGGGGACGGACGAGGGCCTCGAGGGGCCCAGGCAGGAAATGCACGGCACAGGGCATTGCCAGAACTCTCAAAGCCAAGCTGCGCGTCCGGGCCATGCAGACAACAGCCAGTGCCCCACACGTGCCCGGCGTGACAGGGGTGACACCAGCTTGCCACTGAGACCCCTCAACCCCAACCCTGGATACAGACTAGGACACACGTGTCCTTGGTGGGGACGGCCGTCCCCTGATGTAGGGCGAGGCCCATGGTCTGGCCCACGAGGCCCGTGTGCATTAGCAGCATGCCCACATCAGGGGCTTGGGGTGCGGGGGCCGGACCAGGGCGGGGCGCCAAGCGCCCATTGCTTAGGGAGCTGCACGCGGCAGGCGGGGCTGATCTCAGGCCGAGAACTGGGTGCTGCTAAACAGGACCCGCCCTGCAGAGGAGCCAGCAGGGCTGTGCCCACCCTCTCCCAAGCCTCCTGGGTGGACAGCGGGTTCTGTCGCAGCGGGCAGAAGCTGACCTGCTGACTTCCTGGCCCGGACTCCGCAGGTGGCCGGCATGCGGGGATTCACGGGGCTCTGTCCTGGGCTTTCGGAGCCCACACCCCACCCCCGGGTGCCGGTGTCACCGCTGTAACGCCAGGGCGAGGAGAGGGGCCTGGGAGGAGGGTCGGGGTCCCTGGACGCCCTGGCTCGCTGCTCAGACGAGCCCCCCAGGGGAGACGAGAAGGCGAGGCCGGGCGGCGAGGCATGCTGCAGGTGCTCACGCACGGCGAGTGGGAGCCGCCGCCACAGGCCGGGGCGGCTCAGGCGGCAGCGGGTGCACGTGGCTGGTCTTTCTGGAGCCCGCTAGGGCCTGTTTAGCAGGGTGGTCGTGAGGCTCAGATCTGCCCCCTGGTCTGTCCCAGGGCCCAGCAAGGAGGCCAGCTAGGACCAACGACCCCACCCTGGGGGGTGACTTCCCAGGACAGCAAATAACCCAGGACCCAGGGCGGAGGGTGCCCGGGGTGACAGGGACGAGACGCCCATGTGAAGGGCAGGTCTGTGGCACCCAGGGTCTGGCTCCCTGGTCGTCAGGGGGTGGGGACAGCTGGGCACAAATGGCCCTTGACCCATGTGTTGGGGTCTCCGCGGTCTGGCCACCTGTCCCGGTAGGCCACCACACTTCGCCGGGAACGGCCTGTGTGCAGGGGCCCTCAGCCAGCGCAGGGGCTGGGCTCGCGACCCCCACATGGGAGCAAAGCCCACACACGGCCAGTGCGGCATCAGCGGTCAGTGGCTAGCGGCTCAAGCTGTGCTCCCAGCCTCTAAGTTATGAGGCAGTGCCACATGTGACTTTGGACACACGCTGACTCCCCTGAGGGGACACCACTTCTCACACCAAACCCCTGGACAGAAGCAGAGGACAGCGGGCGGCGGGTACTGTGGCCCGTGAGCCCAACGGGTGGCCGGGACAGGGTGGTCTGCTCGCCAGAGACAGGGCCCGCCTGGTGTGCCCGGCGGGGAGGTGGGCGTAGGGCAACGTGAGTCTGGGGTGCGGGCCTGGGGATGCACCCCACCTGCTGACACTGCTAAACAGCCCTAAGACCAGCCTGGGGACAGAAGGGGCACGGGCCCAGACAGTGGTACCTGAGGGTGAAGTCAAAATGAAAGTTCTTTTTCCTTTTCAGAGAGCCACCAAGAGAGAGAACAGAAAGGTTACCCGCGCTCAGCCCGCAGAGCCCCGGGCACCGGCGACGGGGCGGGGGGCCTGCCCTCAGGGCCGAGCGGCCGGGGCTGGCCGGCCAGGCCCCTGCGTGACGCTGGGCGTCTCCCGCTGTGGGGAAGACACCTGGAGCCCAGACAGAGCAGAGACGCTTCGCTTTGTGACCTTCGCTTTGTGACCGGCT